AGTGTGTGTGTGTGTTTGTGCTGACCGCTGCTGCTGAAGAGTGTGTTTGTGGGCGTCTGTCTCAGCTGCAGGTGGACGTTGCAGGTGTTGACCATGATGCTGTCGGTGCTGTTGGAGTTGTGTGTCTGTGAGCGCAGGACTCCAGGTGTGTAATATCCCCTCATCAGCAGGTAATTAGTGTGAGACGCCTGAGTGGGTTTGACCTCCAGCCTCCTCTTCCTCTCGTCATCCTCCTCCTCTTCTTCCTCCTCCAGCGCTTTAGTGAGACTGAAACACACACACACACACCATCAGCTGTAGCAAGTCTTTGGCACATATATCTGTAATGAGTCTTTGGTGCGTATATCAGTAACAAGTCTTTAGCATGTATACCTTTAGCGAGTTTTATCACATATATCGGTAAGAAGTCTTTGGCACGTATATCTATAATGAGTCTTTGGCATGTATATCGGTAGCGATTTTTGGCACATATATCTGTAACGAGTCTTTAGCACATATTGGTAACGAGTCTTTAGCACATATATCGGTAACGAGTCTTTGGTGTGTATATTGGTAGCGATTCTTTGGAGTATATATCTGTAACGAGTCTTTGGAGCGTCTATTGGTAACGAGTCTTTGGAGCGTCTATTGGTAACGAGTCTCTGGAGAGTCTATTGGTAACGAGTCTTTGGAGAGTCTATTGGTAACGAGTCTTTAGCACATATATCGGTAACGAGTCTTTAGCACATATATCGGTAACGAGTCTTTGGTGTGTATATCGGTAGCAATTCTTTGGAGTATATATCTGTAACGAGTCTTTAGCACATATATCCGTAACGAGTCTTTGGAGCGTCTATCGGTAACGAGTCTTTACGCATATATCTGTAACGAGTCTTTGGCACGTATATCTGTAATGAGTCTTTGGCATGTATATCGGTAGCGATTTTTGGCTCATATATCTGTAGTGAGTCTTTACCTCATATGGCGTTAACGAGTCTTTGGTGCGTATATTGGAAGCGAGTTTTTAGCACATATATCGGTAACGAGTCTTTGGCGCATATATCTGTAATGAGTCTTTGGTGCATATATCTGTGACGAGTCTTTGGTACGTATATTGGTAGCGAGTCTTTAGCACATATATCGGTAGTGAGCCTTTAGCGCGTATATCAGTTAGGGCTGGGCAAAAAAATCGATTTTTCGAATATATCGTTTTTTTTAAATATGGTCGATTCAATATCGATTTTCAAAGGCCACGAATCGATTTCTTTCAATATTTATTTCCGCAAACATTGAACATAAGATTTACGTTAATCATATTACTAGTCTAATCCACTAGATGTCACCCCCTTATCTGCCTTGCGCGATGTTACAACGGAGAGTCCGTCATTCATTCATTGCTTAAAATGGAGGATTCAGGTGCGTTCCCGACGTCAACACCACCTTCACATAAAAAGTCAGAGGTATGGAAGCATTTTAGATTTCACAAGCACGATGACAAAGATACTGTGGACAAGAACAAAGCTATATGCCTGATTTGTAATTCTGAGGTGAAATGCTGTAGTAATACTACAAATCTGTGGAGCCATTTGACGAGACATCACCCAGACGTGCAGGTTCTAACACCCCCACAGCCGAACAGACAACTGAAGATTTCAAACGCATTCACAAGCAAAATTCCTCACAATTCACCTCGTGCACAAAAGATCACTGAATCGATTGCATTTCATATTTGCAAAGATCTAAGGCCATACAGCGTTGTCGAAAACGACGGATTCCGTTACATGTTGAATGTGCTGGAGCCTCGTTATTCTATTCCTAGACGTAAACACATAAGCGAAGAGATTATCCCAAGACTGTACCATGAAGTGAAGGGAAACATTTCTCTGTCCCTTCAGTCAGCGGACAGAGTGGCCCTCACGTGCGATGGCTGGACGTCAAGGAGTCAAGACACCTATGTCACAATCACCTGCCACTATTTACGTGATGACTGGGTTCTCATTTCAAATGTGTTGCACACCAGAGCTATGCAGGCTAGTCACACAGGGGCAAATATATGTGCATTGCTTTCAGAGGCATTGGGGTGCTCACTAAGAAAGACCCGGTCATTGTGACCGACAACGCTACTAACATGATACGTGCCGTGGAGATGATGGAGCTGCTCCATATTGGCTTCTTTGCTCACACAATAAATCTGGCATTTGACAGAGGCAGATATAACTGTGGCAGAGGACATCGTGAAAGCTCTTCAGCCGATGAAAAGTGCAACTCTGGTGATGTCTGGAGAGAACACCGCTACTCTCTCTATTATTGCACCATTGCACGCACAGCTCCTTGATGAGATGCGCTCGATTGCCAGTGATTCGACTGTCATTAAGGAACTCAAATCTGCCGTGCATTTTACTAAAATGTAAAATTTGTGTGAATGTTACAACAGATTACATTCTTGTTAATTGTACGTTTGTGTATGTTGATGCCATAATGCAATTTAAATGTGATTGTCTAATCTTTAAAGATATGCAAATCTAAAAGAGAAGCTGCATGTTGTACCTGCCCTGGACCCTCGTTTCAAGACTCTTCCTTTCATCTCTGAAGAGGAACGCGAGGACACATTTACAACATTGATCAGTGAGATGGTCACTCTGGAGCAAGTTAAGGCACATGATGTATGTTGCATAAAGTTTTAAAACTGAAAATGTAAACAAACCAATATTTATTAACTGCATATAAATATAATAAATTAAAGTAAAATAATACAATTTCTGTATGGTGGAGATGGGCAACATTAAATCCAAATAAAATTGTAATTTATATTTTCCTTGTTTTTAACTATCAGCAGCAAGGATCTGATAGTGCTGTTCAGCATCAGTTTTTCATCTTGCATCAAAATTCTGTCTATTCATTGTATGCATTTGAAATATAGACTTGTTTTTTTTGTTACTGTACCCAAGTGTACCTAAAATAAAAAGTGTTTAATATACAGGTTTGTGGCTCTTAATTTCCTTTTATTAATTAACCATTTGTAATCTTATGTTCACTGTTCATTTTTTATAAATATAGGATTTGTATTAAATCTATATTCATTCATATAGTCAAATCGAATCGAGAATCGAAATCAAAAATCGAATCGAAATCAGAACATCTGAATCGATACCCAGCCCTAATATCAGTAGAGTCTTTAGCGCAGATATGGAGTCTTCAGCATGTATATCAGTGCGCGTTAACCGCGTACAGTACCTCTTGACCACGTCGCTGTCCATCAGCGTGCTGTCCACCACCACGATCTGCTGCGGGATGCTGATGTCCACAGACAGCAGCCCCAGGGTCATGAGGGTCAGGCAGCAGGCGCTGGCGCCCCCCGGAGCGTCCATGGGGAACTGCAGCATGCCCTGCGTCTCGTCCTCGTCCGTCTCCGGCTCCTTCTGGAAGGAGAAGCTGTTGGGTCTGTCGCTGCCGCCGGCCTCGCACAAACCCGTCAGCAGATCGAACGCCTCGTTATAGATGGTGCTGGGGAAACGCCACGTGAAGAACCTGCGGCGGACAGTGCTGAACATGAGCGCACTGCAGGCTGTCTGGAATCACGAGAACTCTGTTAAACTCTGTTTGGTGTGTGAGTGTTACTTGTAGTAGTGCTGTGAGAGCTGGTAGGACATGGGCAGGAAAGGCAGCGCGTGGCACTTCTTCAGGCCGTAGATGGACGTGGGCCGCCGGCGGTTCACTAGCGCACGATTACGACACGTCTGGAAGGCCTGAGACAAAACCTCCTCCCTGTAGCGCGTGTAGAGACAGAACGTCTGACACACAGAGAGACAGACATGATCAGTGACACGTGAACACTAGATCAACACACGTGTGTGTGTGTGTGTGTACCTGGAAGGGCCTGTAGTTCTTCATCTGGGCGTTGGTGAGCACTAGTGTGCTCTGAATCAAATTAAACAGCACCAGAACATGAATGTCCTCCTTCCTGAAACACACACGTGATCATTACAGTCCAACATACAAACACAAGCAGTTACACACAAACACCACTGATGAACACAGAGATGATTAACTTGTGTCTGAACAAAAAATAAAAAACCAGCAGCACAAGAACTGAAGCCTTCTCAGTCACCTGGAACTTTACTTTTACTTTTTTTTTGAAAGACAAACAAAAAAAAACAAAATAAATAAATACATTTAATAGATTTAATAAATAATAATAAAACTTAATTTAGAGCATGCACACACCTCTTGATGATGTCTTTAGTGCGTTCAGTTGATCCGTCTGCGATAGCGAACACTTTAAACCTGAGAAAACACACACACACTTAGACTGAAAGACGTCCACAGAGAATAAGAGTGTGTCAGTGTTATTTACTAAAACTATTAAAAATAGTTTTTGTTAATGGAAATAAGCTGAAGTTAAATAAAAAGTTAGATTAAAAACTCAATAATTTAGAAATTTCATATTTAGAAACTGATAGAAGTATTAAAATCACTAGGATCTAAACCTGAAATAAAAATAATTTAAAGCCATACAGAAAAAAAAAACTAAAACTAATAAAAAAAAACAGAAAGCAAACAAAAGCAGTCAAAAAATTAATAAAACTTCAACTACAATTAAAAATAAAACTGAAAATTTAGAAAAATTGTGAATTGTCATTTTGAAAATTGTGTGTGTGTGTGTGAGTGAGAGAGTGAGTGTGTGTGAGAGAGTGTGTGTGTGTGTGTGTGTGTGTGTGTGAGAGAGTGTGTGTGTACTTGTTGAAGAGCTGCTCTCTGGTGTCTGGTATGATGACGTCGCTGGAGCCGTAGCTGGTGCTGAACTTTGACCTCAGAGAGCGAACAAACTCCTTATACTCCGCAGCACACACCTGTAACACACACACAGTGAAGTTTGAATCTATAGGCACTTCACGAATCAATGTAATTCATAGAGTCACGATCCAATTCCAAAACAATTCCAAAGTAGATCTTATTTTTTCCTATCGTTTACTCTGTGATGAAAATCCCAAACAGTAACATCACACTTAACTTTGCTCATTCAGCTCTGCTCAATAATTTAGTTATTTAATGTTAAGCCAGCTTCTCTTGCAATTTTTTAGGGGTGAAAAAACATTAAAATACTTTAAAATAGAAACTAATTAAGATATTTGAGACCCAATTTTCTTAACAAAATTCTAAAACTAAATTTGGATTAATATGATGAAAAGCCTTTTACAGGTATCAAGAGAATTAAACTTTTTGTGGACGTTCAGATACTCGCTGGAAGGAACTGGCAGCAAGAAAATACCACTTAAAATCAACTGAGAAATGATTCAGAACAGTGGACTGATTCAGAATCATAAGAGATCAATGTCTCACCTTCACATCATTATAGTCGCCAGTCCAGTTCATGAATTTGGCCATCAGCTCTTTATCCTGATACATCTCAGCCAGACAAATCCTGAAAACACAAGCATCAAGAGTATAAACTGTGTGCTGTTACTCTGAGGTCAGTGTTTGTGTCAGTCTGCAGTCATTATAATGAACTGTACATGAATCAGCAGAAGTCTGTGACATGCGCTCGTGTGTGTGAGTGTGAGAGTGTGTTTGCACACACACACCTGTAGTTCAGGCAGGTCTGCGGGTTCTTCATGATGTAGCGTGCGCGCCGGCCGACAGACAGCGATGTTTTATCCAGAGATAACTCAAACTCAGCATGCAGCACGTCACGCACCACCGTCCAGGGCACGAACCGCCTCTTCAGCTGCACACACACACACACACACACACACACACACAGACACACACAGACACACAGACACCCACACAGACAGACACACAGACACCCACGCGCAGACACGCACGCGCAGACACGCACAGACACGCACGCACAGACACACAGACACACACAGACGCGCGCGCACACACACACACACACACACACACACGCACACACACACACACACACAGACGCACAGACGCACACACACACACACACAAACACACAGACGCACACACACACACACACACACACAGACACACACACACACACTCACACACACACACATGT